TGCAAGGCGGGTCGATATGTCGGGCGGGGGGCTGGAGAAGCCGCAGCTGATCGCGCACCTGCAGCAGGCGCTGAACTACACTGCCTTCCAGGCCCTCTGGGTGCCGCGCAGCGCGCGCTTCCTCTGCCTCGGCAGCCTCCCGCGCGGCACCGGCATCATTCAGCTCTACGAGCTGCAGAGCGGCCGCCTCAGCCTGCTGCGCCAGGTCCGCGTCGCCCCGGGTGGGGGGGAGGAAAACGGCTGGTTGCTATGGCGACGCGTGGGCTGGGGCGGGCTGCCACGCGTCCTGTCCCGTTCTCCCCCCAACCCTCCCGGCGCACCATGCGGCTCCAGCAGGGGCAGGGAGCACAGGGTGGGGAGCAGAAAGCAGAAAAGTCGCTACGGTGGGGAGCAGAAAGCAGAGCAGCGGATCAGGTGGGGATCAGAGTGACACTGGCGGGGAGGGTGCAGGGATAGTTTGTGGCAGGCCGGTTAGCCTGGTTGCTCTCTGCCCTGCTCCTGCAGCTTGGGGAACGGGCTCCTTTATTCCGCTCCCATCCTGATGCTCGCTCTGCTATTACTTCGTTCCTTATTTTCAAGATTTTCCTTTGCAAGGAAAATGCCACAGACACCCTTTACTGGACACGTTGCCCTCTGTCAGGCCCACAGTTGCCATAAGCACAAGATTTGCTGCTCTTTCTCCATCTAATGAAGGAGTTCTAGTTAGTCAAGTACCCCAGAGGGATGCGGTTGTGTTGCTCCTGCTGGCTGTTTCAGGCTTTGCTCAAAGTTGCAGGCATGGTGGCAGCTTTTGAGGTACATTGCAGCTCCGCATGAGAAGTCCGTGTTTAAAATGCAAGTAACGTTTGAGGATTTGCTAATCTTCAGGAGTGGGAGTGTCTCGGGTGCATGGGAGTTAAAGTTCCCAGGGGGCAGGAGTCAATAAACTTTCTTGGTTCACAGTTCTGTAGGGACAACACATGGAGGGCACGGGCTGCTTCAGACTAATAGAAAGAATAGTTTAATTATCTCTTCTGTGCATACTGTTAGGCCTCTGGGATGAGTTCAAATGCGCCTTACTTTATAATTGCAAATCATTAGAGACCACAGACCTGTCAGCCTTTGAATATTATTAGTGAGCAATGGCGGGGGAGGAGAATTACCATATTTACTCAAATCCAAGACGAGGTTTCTTTCCTCTCCATTCAGTATGGGGGGAGACACTCATCTTGGATTTGAATACAAGGCAGGGAGCAGGCAGGTACTGTGGCTCCAGCCCAGCCCTGACCTGGTCTCAGAATTGGGAGTCAGAGCCACAGCCCAAGCCACCCCCACAACCTGCCCCTTCATCTCTGCTTCTGTTCCTTCTGCCCCTCTGCTCTCCCTGGCCTACGTGCTCAGTTTTAGCTCTGGCCTGGGGCACAGAGTACATGCTGGCTTCTGGCCCTGCCCAGCCTAGCAGCACCAGTTGTGATGGCACCGGCTCTTGCATTGGCTTCAACCCAGAGCTGAAATTGCCACCACTGCAACTGCTGCTGCCAGGCTGGGCAGGGGGCTGGAGTTAGAGCCATGACTGAGGGAAGTGGCACCAGGAAGGTGGGGCCCACAGGCAGTGGTGGGCAAGCAAGTGGCAGGGATAAGCGTTGGGGGGCAGGGGGTGGGGAGGTACAGGTGAGGAGGGGGTACAAATGGCAAGCAGCAGGGTAGGGGCGCAAGATGCAGGGAGCAGTCCATTGGACAGTGATGACATGTAGGGGATTCACATGCACCCCCTGAGAGTCCTGGTGCACCCCTTAACAGCCAGTGTTCTCCAATTCGGTGACAGGCAGGGGGGGCAGGCAGAAGTGCTGGTGGCCCCCCCTCGTGAGTTTTGGCTGGGTGGTGGGGGTAGCAGGAAAAGCGCCACTGGCACTTGCAGGAGTGTCGCTTGCACTTTCAGGCCAGCATGAGCGGCTGCAGGGGACACCCCCCACCCCTATCAGCGAGATCGGCCACAAGGGACCCCTCCCCCCAGTTGGCGCAGTCGGCTGCGGGGGGACTTCCCCTCCCCCGCCATGGTTGCTGACTGGCTGCTGGGGGGGCATGTGCCCCCCCGACTCAGGAGGCACCAGTCGCCCATGCCATTGGACACCCCTGCCACCTGCCACACTGACGCCAACTCCTTTGCCATTGCTTGCCTCCCCACCACTGCTTTCATCACCACTGAGGTGGGGGGTGGCGCAGTCGGCTGCGGGGGGACTTCCCCTCCCCCGCCATGGTTGCTGACTGGCTGCTGGGGGGGCATGTGCCCCCCCGACTCAGGAGGCACCAGTCGCCCATGCCATTGGACACCCCTGCCACCTGCCACACTGACGCCAACTCCTTTGCCATTGCTTGCCTCCCCACCACTGCTTTCATCACCACTGAGGTGGGGGGGACAAATTTAAGATGACCCTCCAAGAATTAGATTCTATACTTGGAAAATTACAAACTAGCAAATTGCCTGTCAAGAATGGG